GGCTGCACTGATCTGACCTGTAGCATTAACAGAATGCCAAAAACTGTTTTCAAATAAAAAGTTCAGATTCTGTTACAGCACTGCTTTTTATATAGCACACTGATACAGTCAGAAACCAAAAGTGTGGGTTGCAAATGAATATCCATGAAGGAAAAGTGGAGGGTGTCCCTGCCCATGGCAGGGGGGTTGGAACTGGATGATCTTTGAGGTCCCTTCCAACCCAAACCATTCTGTGATTCTAAAAGCATTACACAGGAGAAGGAACAAATACATCCGATTAGGGACTGAACAACATTTTAATAATAGTTTTTATTTCTTAAGGCAGCATAGAAATAAAGAGACATCTCCAGAGCAACATGCACTGACTTACGATACAGTTAGAATCCACGTACCTTTGTCTTGCTGACAGTTATTTAATCCTAAAAACTGTAAATCGGAGTCCACGCTACCACTCTTCCCATGTGCCTGTGTGTATCCAAGTGTTCCACATTTCCCTGAAATTTGCGGCTGATGAGAGCCCGTAGCACCTTTCAAAAGAAAACCACAAATAACTAGATAAATACTCAACATACAGTATTCAATGAAAAATATACAATAATACGTAACAGGGAATGAAGATTCTGCCCAACTTCCAGTGTAAAATACAACTACGTTGGAAGTATTTAACTCAAGAGTTTCTAAGCAACCTCTTAATACTGTTCATGGGCACAAACCGGATGAACGGCTGGCTGTTCCTCAGGGCACTTTTCCAGCTAACAATTGCAGGCACTCAAAAGAAAAACCCAGAACAATCCCCTCTTTGAACCCATGACAACAAAGGGAAAACAATACCTGAAACCCCCCAACAGTGAGTTTCTCCGGAGTGATGTCACTCCCAGCACTGCAGCGAGCAAACTCGGCATGCCCCGCATGGCAGTGCCCCCGAACAAAGCCCGGAACACAACCTGCTGCCAAGGGAGGAGAACAAATCACGCCTGGTCTTGCCCACTCTTTTCACAAGCCTTTTGGCTGTTAAAATACAAATCGCTGAGCCCACATGGCTAGTGTAAAATAAGTGTAGCACTATCTCTACAATCTTCTACAGACTTGCTTTTCAAAAACATGATGTTTTTCATTTTTAAAGCAATCTTTAGAGCGTGCTCTTCAGACAGCTTTCTACCCTAGCTGCTTATACAAAGAAAAAAAAAATATGCAAATCTCGAATAGATGCAGATTGATCTGCTCTCCTGAACAGCCCACCATACAGAAACACAACCTTGCCAACATGTTGTCCAGTTGATGGCACTACATACCCTGCCCTCACTACCACCTAACCCTTGGCAGCATACCTTTTACGAGAACAACCGCTACTCTAGCCAACAACATAATCCTGCTTTGAAGCCAGAAAAATTCTGCATCTCCTTTCAGTTTACTGCTTTATCTGCAATTCATGTTGTATTTGACAGCGTGAAAGAAAGTTGGCTGAATTACTCTGTTGCTGGTCTACACGGTACTTCTTTTTCCTAATTCTGCAAAAGCACCGGAAAGCTTTATATTTCAGGGATATCCGAGTTCTTTTGTTCTCATAACCACACTATTTCTTTCTGGTCTTGCTGTCTGAAAAAAAAAGCTGGTCTATAAACTCTATTGGACCGATCTGAACTAGTGAAAATCTGTGTGTGTACAGCAGGACTGGAAAACAGTGCAGTAGGCTCTGCGATGGCCAACGCTTCTCTGGGAGCAGGAAT